TTTCCCTAATCTAGCCCGAATGTCACATGAAATTTTTGACTGGATGCCTGGATCAGGTTTCCACCATCTTCCCAATACCTCGGGTCAGCCTTATATACTGTAACGGGTCCCCAATTCATTAGGTACACCATCTTCCTAGCGCCATCCCCTTGCCAGTTTCACGAATAGACAGGTCGCAATTAGATACTTGGCTTGTCGACCCCATCCATGACTTGCAGTCTGTATGGGTGGTTACTTGAACTTACGTATACCAGTACACGGTCCTTACTGCTCCATGAGCTATATCATCGGAGATCCCACACTCACGATGAGCTACCCCTCGTATGAGCAAGATATCTAAGTTATCATCAAGATTATCATATTAGGGAGATTAGTCCTTAGCCAGATTTATTAAATAAGTCAAGTTGTACCCTCTTTGGTTTTAGTGGTTAATTATCCAGGTGTAGCATCCTACACGCGCGAGTATGAGTTCCCTTTTCAAGCTTGACTTCTACCGTTGCCCAAGCAACTAAGCAATAAGCATTAAGCGTTCCCATTCCCGTTGTTTAGGTGAGAGGCTCTTACATATTATTAGGCTACTCTAGGTGTAATATAAGAGTGATCATTATCCAAGACTACATGCGATGCATGACTCATAATGCAACTTGATAAGTATCCAAAGTAGGGTTTATAATAGTGGGGTGCCTACCTGTTGGATGAGCAAGGATCCCATAGCTTGGAACATCGCTAGGCGCCTCTCCAATATCACGTACCTAATATATTTCCATGTATGAGATACTTATGTATGCATGACATTATATTAAACATGCAAGAGGGAGTGTTCAGGTATACACTGAAGGGTTGTCGGTTCGTGTTATCGGGTAGTCCGGCGTGAATGTTGGACAGTCCGGTGGTTCTTGGACTTAGTGGAAAAAGGACATACTAGGAACATTGGACTCTCTGAACTAAGATCGTACTCTCTGATATGAAGTCTGTGCTCACAGGAAACTCCTTTGTCTGTGATTTATAACTTATCAGACACTCCAGTGCGTGCGGCGGAGCCTCTAATAAATTATAAGGGCTTAGCCTCTTTCGGTGGTCAGAAATGAGATATGCCCTTTTAATGCCAAAGTCACATCTAGCTGATAGAGGATATTCTATGGAGCACAACGAAACTCGTTTCACCATTTTTGGAGGTCAAATGCACCTTCTATGGATTTTACAAGTGTAGGTTGTGCCCACGTGTAGAGATTATAGGACACTTCGAACTAAGATCGGAATGTCTGATAAACACAGGCTGCTCTCAGGTTTTGGCTATTATTCAACGAACACTCCGCCAAAATGACAGACCATCCGATAAACGATGAACAGCAGTTGTGCAAACATGTTGGGGATCGATTCCCGGGGCATCCGGGCTCCAAATTTAGTGTGGTTTATTCCTATGGCTTGCTAGGGATGTGGGGAACCTTCTCCAAGTGTTGGATGTGCCATGCATGGGCTGTGGTGTGCTCGACCACATCCATGGTGGTGGTGGCCATGGATGGAGGTGAAGTTCATGGGTATGGCCATGGGTGGATGGGGGAGATGGTTGGGGACTTGGGGGTGTGCTCACCATGTCTTGGGGGACCCCTATGTGCAACAGCTTGGCTTGGTCTTGCTTGAGTTAGGAGATTGACTTGAGGCTTGCTCCATAGCTTGAGGTTGAAGAAGATGACTTGGGGTCCTTCTCCTCCAACTCTGGCAAGGCGATGGTGCGGTGGAGGTGCAACAGCTCGCCGGCAATGCTCTCCAGCAGCTGGTGGGCGCCACCCTCCTCTCCTCCTTCTTCTCCCTTCCTCTCTTCTCTTCTTCCTTCTCTCTTTCTCCTTTCTCCTCCCTTTCTCTTCTTTGCTCTTCCTGGTGGCCAACGTGAAATGAGATGGGGAGTGAGGTAGAGGGCTGATGTGTTCATTTTGTGTGTGAGTGGTGCCAATGAGAAGTGGGGCCATGTGTGGTGTGCGTGACACCACATCAAACTGCATGAGACAAGTGTCGATGTGTTTTATCGGACAGTCCGTCAGGTGTGGCGGACTTTCTGATAGACTGGCTAAGTGTGCTATGGTTTTGACGGACACTCCGCCATGACGGCAGACACTCCGTCAGTGCACGGGTTGTTCAAGATTATCCTAAGTCTGTGAGATGTCTTGATGGACGGTCTAGTGGTGATGTCGGACGATCCGCCAAAACTAGCAGTGCTCGGTTTTAGGTTTGCCTAGCACGAGTCAGATTCTCATTTGAATTACAAATGCACACGATGTTCAAAAGGTCTAGAGTTAAGCATTGTTATCTTTGGAAACATGTATTTTTAGATGCACTATATGCTCATGATGCTCGTGAACAATTGTAGCGATTTTTGGGTCATGACAGTAATGTTTTCTGCAGCATTGTCCCTGATACCCTCAATGATAGAAATATGGTGAACAAGCATGTGGCCCATGTGGGTAATAAAGGGGAAGGAAAGAAGCTAATGGAAAGAAAATAATCAACAAGATTAAAAAGAGGTGATGGTCTTCTGAGGCATTTATCATCAGTTTTTGATGGTTAGTGTGTCTCTTGTGTTTTCAGTCAGATTTGAACCTGTCTGGCCTGCAATAATGGTTGCTTCAGTTACTTGTGATGTTGGTGCTACACCTTTTATGGATGTTGCTTCTTTGATTGACAATCGTTTCATACTTATGATATGCATGAAGTACTTACTACCTTATGTCTTTCGATGATTTGGATCACACAAAACAAATAAGAGATTGGAAGATATAAACAATTGAGATCTAGTGCGACATAATTTGCTTCCAAGAAACCAAAAGAGTCTTTTAATAATCTAGATACCACATGGGTCAACTTGATTTCAAAAAACACTATTCAAATGGTAAGCTGCCATATGTTGTCATAAAAGCATCATTCTAGTGGTGTGACATTCTAAAACTCGACCAATTCAAAGATATAGCTTCAGCCATAGTTTTTGATGGATCCACTTGTTTACTTTGGGATGATCATTGGAATAGCATAATCCTAAATCAATGTTTCCCCTGAGCTTTTGTCTTTTGCAAAGAATATGAAGATGACTCTACTCAAAGCCAAAGAGGCACCTAACACGGAGAACTTATTCCATTTGCACCTCTCAAATCTAAGCCTTTTAATAGTTTCAAGGGTTTGACAATTACTTCTCAATGTGCATAGCCACCTATCAGGGTGATCTTTAGTCATATATGGGTCTCCTCTGTCTTCTCTTCGACAAACGCTTATAAATCTCTAATTGGGCACACAATGATTCATAATGCTTTCAAATGGTTATGGAAATCGTCATGCCAAAACAAGCATTTTTTTGTCTCCTGACCGTCCTGAGTGCTTCTCAAGCGCAAGAATATAGAGCTACCTTCATATAGTTGTGTTTCTATGCACTAATGACGATGTTGAGAGTGTAACACATCTTTTCTTACATTGCCCTTTCGCAGAGGATTGCTAATTATCTCTAGGGATGCATACTTCATCTTTATTTGATAATTTTAGGAGCTTGGAAATTTTGGAAAGGCAACTAGCGGTTCCTTTCTGTATGGAAATTATTAGTTATGAGTTGGAGCATTTGAACATCCATAAATGATCTTATCTTCAATCTAATTCAACGTCCCCTTAGGCGATGCAATGTCAAATTTGAGGAGCAAATTGCCTAAATGTTTCGCCAAACAAAGAAGAGAGGTATCTCCTGATTTTTAAACAATGGTTACTGGTTAGAGTCATAAATGTAGTGTTTTTTTATCTTTTTTTTCTTGATTCTGTTGCACACAACTTGGGCATTGTTTTAATAAAATCGTTAGTAGGGGGGCATGCCCCTTCTGTTTCATAAGAAAAAAAAATTATAAGTGAGCTTAAGTCTAAGAGGAAGTACGTTGCTATACGCCAATAGTTTTATAGCCTCTCACATAATACCATGAAGGATTTCTTATGTTGTGAAGGGAAATTTGTGGAGGGAAATTAGGGAGGTTAGAGAAAAGGAACGTTGTTTCGCCAAACACGAAATAACTGCCTCATAAGAAAAAAAAATTATTAGGACAATTAGATAGCTATTTCCCCATTTTACGAGTTGCCATGGCAACACAAAACATTTCTTTTGTTTTATGTAACACACAGTCACACACATACGGTGCCTGTCTATGGATGGCAACGGGTACAAATTACCCGTGTGCCCGCGGGTAAAAACCCTTAGGGTGAGGATACGGGTACCATTTTGTACCCACAGGCACGGGTACAGGTTTGATTTTGTGCCCGCGGGTAAAAAATTTGTGGGTATGAAAATACCTTACCTGTGCCGCAAACCCGCAAACCCGCCTGACATGTGGGCCTGCTGCACAAGTATATAAAGGACTTTTTAGGGTTCCCCTTTTCCTCCCCCGCACAGCCCCAATCCCGGCCTCCCGCACGCTAGGGCGCAGCGTGTGTGCTATTCTAGACTTGTCACTTGTGCTAGTTGAACCATATTTATTTTGCTTGTACTCTTGTTATTAAGATGTTGAACAATAGTTGTGAACTATTATTTGTGAACTTGTGTTGTTGTGCATTGGATCTGTTATCTGTACATGTTTGTGATTGTGAATTTGTGATCTGGCTAACGGGCACGGGTGTGCCCGCGGGTGACGGGTGCGGGTTCAATTTCGTGCCCGTGACGGATCGTGGGCACGGGTGCGGACAGAGGGTTTGCCTCACGGGTGTGGGTTTGTAAACCCTCTACCCGCGGGTAATGTGCCCGTTGCCATATGCGTGTCCAACGCAAAGACCCAGTGATGAGTCAATGCAATTAGCACAAAATTTTATATGATTGATCGAAAGCCACTGGAACTCTGCTTGCTCCTCTGTATACAAGCGAAACAAGATATACGTACTAAAACTTACTAGCTAGTAGTAAGTTACTCCTCTGTATACTCCATATTCTGCAGCTTAAATATTTATATATTAGTATTAGTACATATATATAGTAGTTAAAACAACTGCTAGTAGATTGTAGTAAATGGATGGAAGAACGACTGTCCATTGGTCATGAAGCCGTGGTTGAGCTCACCGGGCCTGGCCGTCTTCTGCCACATCTGGTCCTGCAGCATCTCCTCGGTGAGGCCGAACGCCCTGAGCTCGTCGGCGGTGTGGTGCACGAGGAGGCTGTACCTTCCGCCGTCGCCGGTCTGCATGACGAGCGCGCCGCCGTTGGCGAGTTTCTCGAGGCCCTCGAACTGGCGGACGGTCCACTTGTACCAGCGCATGAGGAAGACGCGGAGCGCGAGGCCGTGGGAGACGAGGACGATGTTCATGTCGCCGGTGGTGGTGGTGCCCGGGGGGTGGAAGCGGCCGATGTCGATGTCGGCGAGCAGGGTCTCCCGGAAGCCGGTGATGCGGTCGTACACGTCCGCCGCCGACTCGCCGTTGGGGAAGCGGTAGAAGAAGCGGCCGTAGCGGAGGCGGATCTCCTTCTCCAACCGCATCTGCTCCCGGTCCTGGAAGTTGCCTGCCATTGCGGCCCGTTGGGCGGGGACGGCCCACGGCCCATTCGTTAGGATATGAGTTGATGAGCGGAAGACCCACCTCTGAGAGGCTGACGGGTGGGACCACGTGGATAAGGCAAAGCGTTCGTTATCCGGCCAAGAAAACAAGAAGAGGATGGTGCGTGCGTACCGAAGTCCTGCTCCCGGAGGCGGGGCTCCTCGCGGACGCCGACGATGCGGTGGGGCTCGAAGGCGTGGCCCATGCCGCGCAGCGTCTCCAGGGAGCGGCGGTAGGGAGAGACGTAGAAGTAGACCTTCCAGTCGTCGCCGTCCTGCGCGAAGAGGTCGCGCAGGCGGCGGCCGCAGTCGTCGGCGTCGCTCCAGCCCTGGGCGGTGAGTCCGATCCTGGGGTCCGGGACGCGCGTGTAGGCGGCCTCGTCCACGTTGTCCTCGCTCTCGCCGTGCCGCACCAGCACGATCCGCCGGGGCCTCGGCGGCGGCGGCGGCGCGGCGGCGGGGGCGAGGTGCGGAGCAGGGGCGGCGGCCTGCTGCTGCTGCTGCGCGTGGTTCAGGTGCAGCCCGGGGACGGCGGGGAGCTGCTGCTGCAGCCGCCGGCGCGGGACGCCCAGCGTGTCCTCGCAGCACCGGCACCGCAGCCGCCGCCGCGCGGCCGCCGGCGGTGCCACCACCAGCGCTGCCGCCGACGGACGGCACATGCTGGGCGCCGCCACCATCGACGGCACCTGATGCTGCAGCGGCAAACCAACTGCAAGGCACTAGCTAGTAGCTAACGGTTTCGGAAATGGCAGCGTCCATTCGCCTCCGCACATGAGAGATGCTATATCTTGTGCTTGCACGTATCAGTGTCTGTGTCCACGCAGCGCGGTGGGCTTGACTTTTGCATTCTGTGGCGAAGAGGTCATGAGTCATGAACACGCAGCCGCTAGCTCTGTCGTGTTCGTGTGCCTCGTGTACTCGCACTAGCAGTGGTGTGCTGGTGGCTTGGCGTGCGTGCGTCGTCGCGACATCGACATGGCATTGCCATCTGTGGTTCGTGCCCACACGCACACACAGTGGGCAGTCGCAACTGTCCTGTCTAGCACTTGGCGTCTCTGGTCGGTCATCTACACATCTCTCTCTCTTTGATTTGATAAAACGGACTTGCTAGCGCCCGCTCGTTTCGTTCGGACCACCACGCCTATACCCGTTTCACACGCTGTTTCCATGTAGTTTCGTGCGTCCACGCAGGGCCCACGCCGCCCCCGAACATCACCATTATCGAGAAGAGGGGGAGGGGCATAAGATGCCAGCCAGCGACGACGAGAAGAGAAGGAGACAACGAGACAAGGCAGCAGAAAGCAAGGATGGTGATGCAACACTCGATCTACTTTTAAAACATCTAGATGCAACATTTGCAACATACGTCTGAAGACGGATGAAACACTTAAAACATGCATGTAAACACACTTGCAAAACACATGAAAAACATTTGAAAAACATACGCAACATCTAGATAAAACACTTTGTACCATATGTGTTAAACATATGCAACATCTAAATAAATACACTTACAACATTTGTCTAGATAAAACATTAGGAACAGAAGCTTACAACATATATATACAACCATTACAACATATGCAACATTTCGATCCACTTTTGCAACATCCATATGAAACACCTGCAATATACCTATGAAACATCTGAAACACTTAAAACATACGCTTGCAATACGCGCTTTCAGCACAACGTATCTTTGCTACTTGGGAGAATGAAGGCTCGTCGATATGCGTAGACCAGAGGCAGCGGCCCTAGGCGAGGAGCAGAGAAGATGGCGCCCACATCGAGTTCAAGGAAGCGGTGGACGGATCTTGGAAAAAGGGCAGCCGGCGGGCCTCGGCTCCCACCCCGAGTTCAAGTAGCCGGCGGGCCTCGGCAGTCCGATAGTCCGGGGCGCACTGCCGCACGGGAGCTAGCGTGGCGGCACGATAGGTGGGCTGGGAGGGTGGCACGATTCCGGGTCGAACCAGCGAGGAGCAGTGAGGAGGCGGTGGGGCGCGTGGCTGCGCTGGTGGCCGGTGGGGCTGCAGGCGACGGCGTGGCGCTGCGAGCTACGTGTAGGGTGGTGCGACTGCGTTGGGGGAAGGAAGACTGCAAGAGGACCGCGAGGCAGGATGACTAATTTGAAAAGCAGATAGGAAGAGGTAATTAGGCCAGCGTCATGGCCCATCATCCCAGCATCTGACGTAGACACACGCTCGTTCCCAGAATTACCGTTGATAAAAAAGTGGTCGCTCATCTCGCTGCACGGCTGGCGCCTGGACTGGCATATTCCATTCCATTGCCGTTGGCAGGCTGTAGAGGCTTTGCCGTTCCAGCCCAATGGGCTGGCAAATGTGCCCCTTAGAGTTTGTCTTTCCCAGTGGCCCATGTACCTCCGAAGGCGACGACACATAAATTGAGCCCGCTTGGCTTGGCGTAGTAGCTCCACGATACGGACGGGCCCTCTCTGTCTTGCGACTCGGCAGCAACCTCATTTTTTTTAGACTGTATAGTATCTTCATTCTCATCTTTAAAATGCGATCAACAACAGCGCGTATGATAGTTCGACTGTTGGTCATTTGATTGAGGAGATTAAGTCTTTTATTGAATCTTAATTTTCTTTGTTTCGAGTGCGTTTATGTTGGTAGAGATTGTAATAGAGCCGCCCATGAGCTGGCTGTGCTGGGTCATCTTTGTACTGAGGGTCAGGAGATAGTTTCTAACTCCGTACCCGAACGTGTCGCTGTAATTGTTGCTAACGATATGTTAGCCAATGAGTAATGAAATGACACCCAGATTAAAAAAAAAGAATGCAATTCTACATTTTAAATTTAGTTAATACGGACAGTGGCCGTTTGTACTTCATTCATATTTAAGGTCATCGAAAATACAATCATCACTTATGTTCTAATAGACTTGTTATAAAAATATTCAACAAATTATACTTGTTTGATGTTATAAATGTTCGTACTTAATTTGTTACATAGATCTGGTCAAACTTTTCATTGGAAATCGAAAAATTCTATTTTTAGAATAATGAGAGTGCATACAAGTTCTTTTTTTACCCTCTGCTAGCACAATATACAGCTGCAAAGCAGTAGATAGATAGATAGATAGATAGATAGATAGATAGATACATATAGATAGATAGGTAGATATACTTCTTTTATTTTATGGCTGCATACGTTTGTTTGTAGAGGCTGAAATTATTCCTTTTCTAAAAGAAAGATATACTTCTTTTCATCAAGACAAAAAAAACTCTAAAACCATATGATGAAAACTATCGATAGGAGGCCAAATCACTTTTATTTTCAAAAAAAATTCTTGAAAACGGAATTGATATGGTATTGTCAAAAACAAATACGGCGCCGATATTCCAGTAATTACAAAAATGATAATAATCGATCGGAAAATACATCGATATCGATCGGAACCTATGAGACAGATATTCTTAAAAACGATAAACACGCCAAACCATAGAACATGAGAAGATCCATATAACTCAACCTATCTCACATGACAATAATAAATAAACCATAATTGACAAGACCACACAAGCTGAAACCACGCAATTCACACCATCTTAAGTCTCAAACAGTGATGAGGGCGCTCGCCAACCCAGAGTCAGTTCGTGTACGTAGTGACTGGCTAAAGTTACGGGTGCAGTACGTGATTGTTGGCTGATTGCCTTCTTATTCCTATACGCATGAAATACTTACCATATAATTCCTTTCAAAAAATTCACCTTATGTGCTTGTGTGTGCAGATGGATGGGCATGCTTAGACATGGGCCAACTGGACCTAAAGTATGTGTTGTATCGGTAATTACCGACGTCAAATTACCGGTTAAATACGGCAATTTTCGAAAACGATTGGAAGAGGGCAAAATTGTTTTCGTTTTCGATTATTTTTACTGTTATCGTTTTCATTTTTCCGATTACCGCTACCATTTCCGTTTAGGCCTAAAAATCGGAAAAAAAAATTCAAAAACGATTTCCGAAAATAGGAGATTATCATTTTCATTTTCATCCCTATAAAACCAGGTATGGCCAGGCATGTACCAGGTTTTTCTCGGGAGATACTTCATTTTATCAAGAAGAAAAATGCAGTGCCCTTTTTTTCTTTTCTGCATCAGCACACGATGCGGCTTCGCAAAGATATTTGCACTGGATCTCCAAGACAAATCCAGGTTGTTTGAAGCTGCACAATTATCAGAACTTGCATACCAAACCATACAAATTCATCCAGGTAAGGTAATAATAACTAATAAACCATCCCTATTGGCTATCTCCATCCACTCCAACAGTAAGATTTGACCCACAAAACAGTGAAAATGTATGTATGTCTCATCTCCACCCATCCACAGAGGAGACAAAAAAAAAAAAAAAAAGAACTAAAAAAAATAGAAAAAAAAAGAAGAAAAGGAAAATGAGCAGAGCCACATCTCTTGCCAAATTGCTCTACCTATGTGTATATATAATAAGTACTCTTTCTATTTAACTTTGCCCTAATAACCTAGTTAAACTTCTCCATCACCATCTTTGCTCACTTTCTTCAGGCTTTATTAGCCTTTTCCAAGAGCAGAGGAGAACAGAGCACCCCTTTGACACGGAGCCCCCTGTAGTTGTTCAAAATCACAACAAACCAGACAGACCCACCCACCTGGTCAAGCAGCCGGTCGAGAGGAGGTGGAGGGTTATTTTTTGCACCAAGGCCCAGCAGGAAGGACGTAATTCGGAACGCTACGACGGCGGCAGCGGCAGCGGGAGGGGCAGGAGCAGCGGCGGGAGGAGCGGCGTCCGGCAGAGCGGGCAGGTGCGGTGGCCGTGGGCGGCCCAGCGGTCGAGGCAGGCGCGGTGGAAGACGTGGCGGCAGCCCCGGGCGCGGCGCACCTCGGCGGCAGCATGGAAGTCGCCCAGGCAGACGCAGCACCCCTCCGGCAGCGGCCGCGGCGCCGTCTCCCCTCCGCTTTCGCCGGAGGAAGAGGACGAGGAGGAGCAGGACAACAGAGAGTCGAACCGCACCGCCGGGGAGTGCTCCTCCAGGCGCTCTGCGGCGGCGGCGGCGCAGGGGTGGCGCGGGTGCTCCGCGTCGGATGCCGTCGCCCAGCTGCCTGCGTCGTGGTCGGCGTCGGTGCCGGCGCCCGCGAGGCGGAGCAGCCAGGAGGAGAGGCGGCGCAGGTGGCCGAGGAGGAAGAGGAGGTGCAGCACCAGCTTGGGCATCTCCGAGTACCCCACGGGGAACCCCATCAGCATGGGGACAGACCAATGGAGGAACGAGCTGAGCTTCTTGGCTGCGCTGCACACTATGCGCGCGGTGCGGTATCAGTTGGATTGGAGGATGGAGGAAGGAGATGTTGATGGCGTCTGACTGCAGCGAGTATGGCGGCCTGGCTGGGCTTTAAAAAGCAAGCAGGGAAGGAGACGAGTAGTAGAGCAGAGCAGGCTGAAGGCAGGGGCAGGCGGGGGCGGAGGGGGAGGGGGAGGGGAAGGGGGAGGAAACAAACACAGGCAGCGAGCAAACAGCTCATTAAAGAGGCTTTTAGCTGTATATCATTATAAAAGAGTGTAATTGTATAGAGACCGTTAAAAAGTTTGAGCGATCATAGATATCACTCGATATCACTCGCTACCAGATATAGGATATTTGTCGAGTGCTAGGGGTACTCGGCGAAGCCCCAAAAACACTCGGC